GTAGCTTAGCAGTTCGGACAGGCAGGTAGGTACACCCAATGTCCCGAACGTCTTCTTCCTGCCTCGCTGCCCTCAACAAGGTACGTGGGTACGTGAAACTTACGAAGAAAGAAGCAGTAGAGAGCTCGTTATGTCATCCACATTCAGGTAGCAAGCACCGTCCAATTCCAATTCCATGCTGTTCTTCTTCAGTGGAACCTGACGGCTGCGCGGCAGTCCAGACTCCAATGTTGGTCAGTCAATAACACTCAATAATGTGAAGGCCTAAAGGGAGAAGATCCCTGCCTTGGCTTTATAACTACAGCCACAGAGCAAGGTCAGGGAAGGCAGCTTGGGCAGATGCGCCGCAAAAAGAAACAAAACCACATATCAAGCATTCAATCCTTCCTAGCAGGTATACAAGTGCAAGTACCCCGTAGCAAGTTCTCTTTCAAGCCTCACAATACTCCCGAGTCCCAAGAATGAAGGAAAAGCGTCCATCTGCCCTGCCCTGCCCTGAGCCCTGGACAATATGCACATTGGAGAGCACCGCCACCTGCATCACCGCCCAGTCTAACCAACTTCCTCCCGGCTTCTTCCAGGACATCGTGCATCCGGTGACAGCGGTCCACTCCAATTGTTTCCCAAGACTTACCCACGCATCGTCAGTCAGATCTCACCATTGCGACAGCTCGAGTCCTCGAATACCTACACTGCACCAAACAATAAGGTGCCCTGTGTCTGCGACGGCAACCAGCAGCCACCAACCAGGACACTTGTGTGGCTCGGCTGTCGCAAGGGGATAACAAGCATAGAGCCACTTGAGCCCCCCAAGCAAGCTCTTCAGTGATCATAGCAGGGACCATCAGCAAGATTTTCCCGCACATCACCTCTCGACGGCGAACGCGCCTGCATATGTGCTCCATGCATTATGCTCCATCTGCTAAGGATACTCGCTCCAGTGACGAGAACGACTGAGCTAGCTGGCTACCTCAGAATCACCACGCTCACCTCATTTTGCGGAAACCTGCTAACCTCGTCCGCGATGTTTCTGAAAATAGCACATGCAACGGCCAGAATGATGTAACTCGCACCTCGGAACCGAGCCGGTCTACAGGCCCCTACCTCAACCAAGCGAAAGTAGCCATCAAGCAGACGAAATCTAGACACACGCAACGGATGACTAGACTGCTTTTGTCTTACACCGCAACAACAGCTGCAATTCTTCCCTCATCTCTCTCACGATCCGCCCCCACAAACATACCACAGTACAGATACATAGAGACGCATCGGATATGAATTCTGGCGCCCGGCGGATGCTTACCTGTTGAAGGCAAAGCAAACGATTGGCGAGGACGGCACCATCATGCGGTCGAAGCACCCGCCAGGAAGGACGACGACGGGCAGTCTAAGATGAAAGCTGCATATTCCCCCGTTGGCGCTAGTCCCTTAGACCGCAAAGTACCGTGCCGAAGCAGCGGCCATCTGAATTTGCGCATGGCATCCTCGACCTCCTCGACCAATGACCGAGTCGATTACATGAAAGTCCTCCGAAAGGGCTTGAGACAAGCACATAGGTAGGACTGGGCTCTGTGGCTCTGCGCCTGGAAGCTCTCTGTTGGAGAATGGAGATTGGAGAATGCCTGCCTTTGACAAGTTGATAGTGAGGGGCCCCTCCTCCGCCTGTGTCAACCAGACCCCGGTCACTCATCCTGCCCCCCTCTTCCGGCGTCTCGCAATTCGCCAAGTTGCTACGAGGCCGTTGCTGGAGGAATGATGACGTTGAGGGAGCAGGAGGAGAGTTCCACGGGTTGGAGGGAGCAACGCCAACGGCAGACCGAAAAAACTGGTGGCTTGAAGTTTTGAACGGACGAGAGTAATTTCCCGTAGGAGGCTCACTACACTGACGCTACTGGCCTCTTAGCTCGTCCAGTGTCTCTTGGTGAGGTTCGACCCCCACCGCAACTCTTCGTCGTTGAAGCACCTCTCTCCATCGCGGATCGGGGGTGGACAAGTCACGAAATGCATGGTTTGCAGGCTGCTAACCTCGAAAAGTCAAGAACGATACGCAATACCATCAGATGATTTCCCAAGAGCGAAAGAAGTTCGAAATGGACTTTGCATCATCGCCATGCACTGGGAATTAGGAATTCATGGAAGAAACGGCATGCCACGACGATTTCCCATCGATTGATGACGTTTTCTCATCGAGAATACGGTACGTACATTTACTTTCCTTAATGGAACAGCTCAGAAAAAGCTGCCATTGGGTGCCTTATCTTATCAGCACAACGGCGGACGATTCCCTCCGCCTGACATCATCGTCATGTCAAATTGCTGTCTGCATTCTGTCCAATTGCAGCTCGAGCGGAACCTTACCCGCGTCTATGCGATTCGCTGACGTCTTCATGGTGCAATCCCATGGCCATGGTAAGGTACCTACGGATATCAGAGTAGCTACCTAAATTGTTTAGGTAAGGCGTCTTCAGTCGGCACGGTTAGGGCATCGCAAAACTATCACGACTTGGGGTGGGCGTGATCGCGAAGACGCAAAATACAAGCGAGCAAAGTCCCATAACCCGATCTGCAAGATCTAGAATATGGAATCTACGATACGGTAAACCAGAAAAGAATCCAGACTCTGGGCACGTTTCCTGATCTCATCCACAACCGCCACTCGCTACGGCCTACCCGCGATCATCGCCTCACAGCCCCCCGGGGAAAATATGTAGTTTCAGTCTAACGGTCCACGCAGTCCAAATGTTTTTCAAGGGTCCTCTAACTTTTAGTGTTTTGATGCCCCAAAAGAAGAAAAAAAGAAAAGAAAAAAAAAAGAGTTGCTCCCCCTCCAAAAGATCTGCCTTTTGGGGGGAACACAGCCAGAACAGCCCAGGGCTGGAACGCCGCACACGCCGGGCCAATCCCATTGCGCAGCCGGCCGGAGCCCTCGCCGATGGTCGTCAACAGTGGCAAATGCTGTCAAAACACCTATCCCATCACAAAGGCAGTTCAGCTCATCAGGGACAGGCCTGCGCAGAAAAGGAGAAGCGCAAACTCAATGGCAAGCGGCCTCCGCGACGTTGCAATTGCCGACCGTATGTCCTATCAAACTACACGTCTTTGATCTCGTTCGCTTGTTGAGATTGTTGACTTGTCGATATCTAAACTGGGGAGAGCGCGGGAAAAAAGACGAACCTCTGTCGTCATCAGCCACATGGTTTCGCCACCTGCACTCTTGCTCATCCGTCGTGCCACAAGCACCACAAGCACCACGGAGATCATCCTCAATTCTCCACATCTGTCATCTGTTTCACTTTGATGTCTTGTCTAGTTCTTGTCCAGTGTGACTCTTCTTTCCCCCACGCCTTGTCGATCCCCTAGTCCAGCTCTGCTGACAGCTCCGACAATCTCGATGTCGAATAAGACCGTAATGTTGCGCATCTCGGGCGCATGATGGGATGCTGATTGATATCATGCATCTAATTTTGTGTCGGTCACTGTTAATCAATTCCTTTTGAGAAACGTAGCCTGAAGTAAGGTCTGGTGATTGATGTAATGCGAGTTGTAGATGTGTACCTGTATCCTGTTCATCTTCTGGGGTTGGTAACTTGTCTATTACGTCAAGGTCACATGTCAGCACGTGATGAGATGTCGAAACACCAACAACAAGCATACCATTACGATGTCTTTGGTGATGCCAGACCATTCAATGCCAGTGCTGGCGACAAGCAACGTCTTGACCGTAGCTTTGCTATATCGTCTGCAGATTTTAGGAGGAATTTTTCGATCTTAACGTAGAAGATCCTGGATGGGAATTATTGAAGCAATAGAGATCAATTTGTATTTCAGAAGTTCCCGATGCTGTTCACTGCAAACCGGTATCAATATCTTAACCTACTTTTGAGCTCCTTGTTTTAGGGGCACAGTATGCAGATCTCCATATTCGATGCCCTTGTGATGCATGAGCTTTGTCATGTGAAATTAAATGGATCCCGCGTTTACAAGCTATCTATTCAACAGTTGAGATGGCCATGCCATTCGAACTTGAAGAATCCAGTCACTGGTTGTTTCGTTTCCGTATCGCATACCCCGCGCTCTGCCAGCCTCGATATACTTCGGCCCCTGGGCAACACATCGTTGTGCGTCCAAAAGGCTTGAGCGAGGAGTTTAAAATGGGCTGAAGATTGGCCAACTGAAGGAAGAGCTTGACATGAACATGAGGCACTTCAGGCAGGCAGTCAGCTCGATCATACGTGGCTGGCGCTATACAAGGAAGTAACGTATTTCATCAACCTACAATTGCCGATTCTAACTAGCTTACCGGGAGCAATGGCTGACGATCTAGACTGAGAAAAGCTTCACTATATGAATGTCTTTAATGCTTCTTTCGGGTATTGGTATTCACTTCTGCCCCGCTGTCTATGATTCCAGCATACCAACTAACTACAGTCTACGGTATTGATGACGAGGAGCTTTCCTATCTTCTTTCTTCAAGTGCCAGCATCGAGGCGTGGATTTCTGATTGGACAGCTGCCATTGGGCTGGAGAAGTGATCTCCCACGATTATGATACTGAGGAGGATCGTCGGCAGACTTGACAGCAGCCACAACTTCGCAGATAGGTCACCTCTTACCGCCTATTTAATGCCAATAGTTTCACTTGCACTTCTTCTCTGAGCCAAGCAGGAAGTAGATCCGGAAGATCTAAGAGATCCAGAGGTGGCCTTGAGGAACGATAAGAAATCACAAAGGAGAGATACGCTGATTGATGGAGATAGACCCTTGGCCCTCATTGTTTTCATAAAGATAGAGTAAGTAAGGGAAGGAGGTCGTCGCAATCTCGAAAGGGTTCTCGTCACCTACATATTCAAGTTAGTATATTGAGGCCGCCATGATGCCAAGTAAACAGTACTGACCTCTCCATAAAGGGACGGCGAAGCTCTTGCCTCTCAGCTTAATCTGGCCCACGGCCTTCTCTTTCCTTTCCCTTCCTCCCATTCCCTTTCGTTCAAATTGCGCGACTCAACGAGACGGGCCGGGCTTCTTCATGAGGACGAAATCCTCCTCGACAACTTTGTCGTCCTTGGTAGGGGGTTCCTCATAGTAGGGATCCCAGCAGTCGTCATACTCGTCGTCGTCCGCGGTTTCGAGGGAGCTAACGTGCTGAGGACGAAGCTTGACGACGCGACGAGGCTTCTCGTGCGGCTGCAGCGGCTGCTGCTGCACGATGGGAGATCCAGCAACTTTGCCAGAAGAGCCAGCGACCTTGTTGCCGTCCGTCTTGGCACCGGCCACTTGCAGACCCTGCTTCTCCCCTTTCTCCTTCTCCTTCTCGACAGTCAGGCTGGACTTCATTTTGGGCTTGCTGTTAGTTGTGGGTTTGTGTGTGGTATAGCAGGTGTCTTGGTTGAATTTGTGTAGCAAGGTGAACTTTTCCTGAGAAGATGTTTTGTTTCTTCGATGGTCCAGGACGAGACGAGAAGACGAGAAAGCTCAAGGCTGCCCGGTCAACTCCATTATCGTGGGCCTCAGGACGCCCTCTTGGATCCGGTGTAGGGATTTTGTGGATAATGACACCGTCAAGGAACCCTCGCCGCATGGAGAGACATACTAGACCGGGGGAACAAGAGCAACGGGTTGGCTGCCACCACACTCTTAACCATGCGAAAGAGCTAACCCCGCGATATCATACCAAGACGTTATTCATGATGTACCCAGTTCTTTTAGACAATGACTTGAAGGCTAGCTGTCAACGTGAAGCTCGTTGTCTAGCCCATAAAGACGCAGAGAGTGCAGGTGAAAGCCTAAGAAACGGTTCTCTCATTGTCGCCAAGGGGGTTAAACACTTGTTAATTTGCTTCAAAGGATGCTGAGACGGGCCGTGGACTCAATGGGCGAAAGAAGAAGAAGAAATTACTTCAGGACAATAGTATATATGTCTGCTGAGTGTTCGCCTTCTAAAGCACTGGCAAGTAGAGACCTGGATAATCTTGTTAAACTCCGTCGTGCTGGCCTGCCAAGAAGATGCATATTCGATGCTCAAAACACCATAATAGAGGAATCGCAAAGACTCTAACGTCAAGCAGTCAAGTTGGCCGATATTTCGATGCGATATCATGCATGGTTGGAGGCACCGGGCAATATGACATTTGCCTCTGCGATCCGATGACCAAGTCGTCCAAGTGAGGCAGCTGAGTCGTTTCTGCATAGCTTCGCGTGTTCTGCCTGTATTGGACCCGACTTGGCGCATTGGAAGTCTGATCTTCCGGCTCGAGATATCTTCCTCGTCCTACATCTGATACGACTAGACGGTGGGCCGAGAGCAGTGGCAGAAATAAGGTAGCTGTAGTCGAGCAGCAGAAGGCATCTACCCTGATGGAGCATCTGTGCGTACGTGTAGAGAAGCTCAAAGCTACCGTTTCTATCATGGGCAAAGTTGATGAGAAACGGCGGGGTAATGGGGATTGCAACAGCCTCACTTCGGATGTGCATGCAAGTTGAAGCAGGCAGGCAAACGCAGCCGAGAGTCCACTCCCTGAAGTCGCTGCGGACCGCGGCCACGAAGCTTAAGTTGCCGGCAAGACCCTTGAATAGTTGGGCTCCGAGACGGCCTTGGCGGCGGTATCGGGGCTAGATCTTGACAGCACAGCCAGGGTACGGGAACATTCAGCACAGAGATGAGATGGCGAAGCAGGTAAGCTCCTGCTGATGGTGTCTGGGCAGCATTGTGGCTGATAAGGTATTCTTTTGCATCCCGAATTGCAGGGAAGAAGAACGGGCAAGATAGGTAGTCGTGTGCTGGGAATCAAGAACTGGGTTCCGCCGTGTGCTGAATGGTTGGCTAGTAGAGGGGAGATTCCCGAAACGAACGTGTGCTTCTCAACCGCTGCAACCTGACGTACAGCATGCGTACCTGCGGAACGCGGGAGACGATCTGATGTGTCTGTGTGTGCGGGTGTGCGGGTGTCTCTCGGAGAGGGATCGTCAAGTATGGCATCCCATCCCGAATGGATACTCTTTACGGAGTACGGAGTACTGGCTATTCAAACAACGTGTTGGTAGATATCCGTGCTCGGTGTACTGCGTAGAGTGTCTGACGATACAAGGTCGTGTGCCGATGTGCAACATTATCAGACAACGGATGAATCAAGAAAGATGGGGGCGGAAAACCGGAAACGGCGACCGGCAGGGGATGGACTCGTAGAGCTAAGCAAGGGACGGGGAGAGAAACGGTGGTGAATGGATGGATTGAATGGCGGATTGCGTCGCAGTCGGATAGGTGTCGCAGCAGGTATCGGTAGGCCAAAGGCGAGGGGCCACGTCTGGTCAGAGGACCGTCATGTCAACCGGAGCTGGCGACGTCAGGGCAATTTCGATTTCGATTCGACGACATTGCCAAGGCGCCGTGTAATACACTGCGCCTATTGTGCCAAGAGCCAGTCGGTCAGTTGGTCTTTCTTTGAGGCGCTTGCTTCTGGGTGCATGTTGGTGGTGTGCTTGTTAGACCGTTTTGTGGTAGGGCAGTGTTTGCCACCAAGACACACAACACAGCGGCTGCCTCCCTCGAATATCTTATCGTTTCGTTGTGTCTGTATCAAACTGGAAGAAGTTAACTTGATGAACAAACTTGATGGGAAATGGCAGTGCACAGTTGAAAGGGAGGGGAGGGATGACAACCTAAGCGTAAATGGAGCAAGAATAGCCGGGGTGCCTTGCATGCAGAGTTTTGCGGGTTGCAAGACCCAGCAGGAAGCAAACAGGATGGTGGGGGGATGCCACCTCACTGGATGGTGCAGCTCAGTTTCGGCATGAGTTGCTCAGACGGGAGTCACTAAACAGTGAACGGGAGACCTGCTCTTACAGTAAGGTAGCTGAGGGCCGGCGTCATCGTGGGCTCATCCGCGCTTCTGATTGGGCGCCAAATGTTTCTTAGCGGCAAGTGTCCGTTACCTTAGTGCCTTACGCGGTGGGTGGCTGCCAGGTTGCGGCTTGCCGCTGTGTGTGTTGCACATCCCCACTGGGCTTGGGGGGGGGGAGTGTCAAGGTCGCACCGCTGGCACCATCTTGGTAACGGCCCCCCCCCCCCCCCCCCCCCCCCCGGACCAGACCGTATCAGTTACGCAGAACAGGCAGTAAAAGCATCTGTAGCAAGGCAAAAACAGCAAAAACGGAGGTGACGGAACCTGGGGGCTGTTCCCAAACAGTGAGCTGTCGCGCTGAAGTGGCGTACTACGAGCCGCCCTCATCCCTGGAGACCACAGCCTGGGCCTACCAGTGCGCCGCCATCGCCATTTTTGCGCCATGATTAGCTCGCCTCGACTACGTATTTTTCTTTCCACTTCCTTTATCAATCTACCCACTCTCGGGCCAACCTCATATCATCGTGCCTTCCCTTCTGTGGCTGAAAACTCCCGGTCCTTCTGTCATCACCTTTACCTTTATTCTGCCTTTCCCTTCTTCGACTTTCCCCCATTCCACACACATCGTCCATCAACTTGATCCTGCACGTGCTTCCTTCTCTCAACGTCCCTCCTCCACCAAACGACCAGCGCGACACCACTACACTAATACCAAATCTTCGCCGTTTCTCATGTCTCCTGCCGCCAGAGAATGAGAGCTTGGTCGCAAACTTCTGGAAAAGGCCGATCTTTACTGTGGAGGCCCGATACATACCACCGATAATTCCGACTTCCAACGGAAAACCCCGATCACCGACTTCAACACTATACCTTACTCTTTCGGTTGCGATCCGTCCCATCGCCGACTATCCGAAACGTTCACATCGTGCTGCTTGGGCCCGATTACAAGGTCAACGCGCCGCGCCAAGCCTCTTAAGAACTTTCCATCAGCTTTGGCCGCCCAAGACCTCCGTCCTGAAGCCCTCTCGTACTCCGCCGTACCCTTCGTCCAACCTCGACATCCGCAGTCTCCGTCTTTGCGCTTTCTTTAATATCCACGGCCTAGAATGGACCAACAATACTTGACGTCGCCGACGTCGTTCCGACTGGCAGATGTGGCTCAGAACATATACGAAATGCCCCTCATGGCCATGAAGAAGCCCCACGATTCACACCCATCCATGGGCAACTTGGTTCTTCTCGTCTTCGAGGCTGTCCTCGAGGTCGTTTGCGTGAGCTTGCCGGGCTACATCATCGCCCGTCTCGGCCACTTTGATGCCGAAAAGCAAAAGTTCTTGGCCAACCTCAATGTCATGCTGTTCACGCCATGCCTTAGTATGTCTATTCTCGTCTGCTCTGTATCATCTTCTCGTTGTAGCCTACTAACAGTGTCCACAAGTCTTCACCAAACTGGCTTCGCAATTGAATGCCGACAAGCTCCTCGATCTCGCTGTAATCCCCATCATCTTCGTCATCCAGACTCTTGTCTCCTGGCTTGTCGCTACCGGCGTCGCCCGCGGCTTTGGCTTCAATCGCCGCGCTACTAACTTTGTTACGGCTATGGGAGTCTTCGGAAACTCAAACTCCTTGCCCATTTCCATGATCTTGTCCCTCTCGCAAACTATCAAGGGGCTACATTGGGACAAGATTCCCGGAGATAACGATGACGAGGTTGGTGCTCGTGGTATTCTGTACCTCTTGATCTTCCAGCAGCTCGGTCAGTTGGTGCGTTGGAGCTGGGGCTACCACGTGTTGCTCGCTCCTAAGGACAAGTACCCCGAGTACCAGGACGAGCGCGTTGAGGAGGGACAGTACGCCGGAGATCGCGAGACCGCCCCCTTGTTGAACGAGTACGACGATGGCACGGCTACTTCCCGCAGCCACTCTAGCGATGATCTATCCAACTATGAGCCGGCCGGTCGCACTCCTGTTGCTAGCAGGTCCAGAGCTTCTCCCGCCGATACCGAAGACGAGGACGACGATTACCTTCCCAAGAAGCCGATGAAGACCAACGGCCTCGCTCCCCTTAATGGAAACCATCCGGTATTCGACGGAAGTGGCGATGAGATATTGTCCTTTCCCCGCATTCGTAACACGGATGAACCCGAAGTCCCTGAAGGAGTTAAGGGCTACCCTACCCGCATTAAGAACGCCTACAACCACACCATCACCTCTGCCAAGCAATCGACATCAAACTTCTTCGCCAGAGCCTACAACATTTTGCCCACCCCCTTCAAGACGGTTCTCTCGGCCTTAAGCCGCTTCGCGGGCAAGTTTTACAACTTCCTGTGGGAGTTCATGAACCCACCTCTGTGGGCCATGCTCAGCGCAGTTGTTGTTGCGTCTGTCCCGGCTCTGCAGAAGATCTTTTTCGAAGAGGGATCTTTCATCAAGAACAGTTTCACGGATGCTGTTCAGTCCAGTGGCGGCGTTGCCGTGCCCTTGATCCTGGTTGTTCTTGGTGCCAACCTCGCCCGCAACACTCAAAAGAGCGAAAAGATGCGTGATCCCGAGGAGGACCAGATCGGAACAAAACTCCTCGTCGCATCCTTGGTGTGCCGCATGCTTTTGCCGACCCTGATTATGACTCCTATCCTAGCTGTCTTCGCCAAGTATGTGCCAGTCAGCATTCTGGATGACCCTATCTTTGTCATCGTCTGCTTCTTGTTGACTGGCGCCCCGAGTGCTCTCCAACTGGCTCAGATTTGCCAAATCAATGAGGTTTACGAGAGTGTTATGTCGAGAATCCTCTTCCAGAGCTATGTCATTTGGTACGTAGTCAAATCCGTCTCGCACTTCCCTGTACAAATGCTAACAAACATTGTAGGATTCTTCCATCAACCTTGGTGCTCGTCATGTGCGCCTTGGAGGTCGTGGAATGGGCTGCCTGAGCTCCCCGTTAGTTTCTTTTGTTGTGGAGGGCATACGGTAATGGGCGAAATAATGGTACCGTTGGTTTCCAAGATACATGTTTGAGGCGTTCGGTATCCTGAAGACACGACGTGGTTCGGGGCAAAAGCAAAACATGAATCGGCCCTTTGCCATGTATTATTACAGTACTAGCGGGTTGGGAGGTAGTGGGGCTCAGCATACTTCGAGTCTGAGATACCAGGTCCTCGATTCCCTTGCGTCATCGACGCTTAGCAATGTTACAGCGGGTGTATATAACAGTAATAGGAATATGTACATTGCCACGAATGTTATCACCGCTTGTTTGCCTTTGTACTGTACTCTGCCTGTGAAGTTCGATCTTGATTCAGCTCCACACCAACTACCTACTGTCACACCTATCATGCCCGCTATGGATGCTCATTACCACGCAAGAAGCATTTTAGTAGACGCGGGACACTAGCTTCGCAGAAGACGATGGAAGAATCAGATTGAGAGCTCATTTTTCTCCTCCGGTATATAGATCGAAAAGGAATATAATTGAGCCACTATCCCAATCCTTGAACGATGTGATGCGGAGATGAATGTATGTCGTTCCGTAGGTATTGACCGGACTCCACCGAGAGGCGTGCCTGCCACCTCGGTGTGGACCCGCTCTATCACGTGATCACACGTCAGTCCTGGTCACGACAGGGTCGCGGTTTGCGACGCCTTGTTCAATTTCGCCAACCTGTCAACCAAGATTTTGCCCCAACACAAGCGACCATGGCGTCCCGAACGAGATCACTCTCTCGCGACCGCTACCGCGACCGTTCTCGATCATTGACGCCACTGTCAGACCGATCTCGCTCCCCAGTCCGTCGCCAAACGTACGATTCACGATCGCCGTCGCGTTCTAGGTCTCCCACACCGCGACGAAATGGCAGACCCAGAAGCGGAAGCCGCAGTCGGAGCCGCGGAAGGAGCACCAGTCCTGCCATCAGAAGCACCAAGGTGAGATTATCTCCATGCTTTTTTTTGTCAATCGCGTTTCGATGGTTCAAGCTGTTAACTCTGCATTTAATTAGGTTGTTGTCGAGCGACTGACGAAGAACATCAATGAAGCCCATTTGGAGGAGATCTTTGGCCAATTTGGACACATCAAGGATCTTGACCTGCCCATTAATAGAACACGTCAGTATTTGTCCTCGCAGGGACGGCCTGAATGGCCCCCAAATGGATCCCTGTTACATGAGGCTGACATCCCTTCTCCTCCAGACGGCACCAACCGCGGTACTGCTTACATCCTTTACGATACCGAGGCCGATGCTGAGGATGCTATCGCACACATGCATGAGGCACAGCTTGATGGCGCGGTGATCAACGTCTCCATCGTTCTCCCCCGGCGCAAGATGTCTCCAGCACCTCCTGCTGCTCGACGTGGCGGAGGCTCCGATGCCAGAGGCGGTCGAGGGGGAAGAGCCCAGAGCGGATTCCACGGCGGCGGTGGAGGCGGACCCGGTCCATTCGGTCAGAACGGTCCCCGACGGGGTGCATCGCCATCTCAGGCTCGCTTCGGCCCCAGATCAGACACCTACCGGCCTCGTTCGCTCTCGCGCTCCCCAAGCCGATCTCCTATCGATGCTCCTCCGTCTAGAGGCGGCGGTGGAAGCAGATACCGAAGCCGTTCGAGATCATACTCTCGATCCCCATCACCACCCCCGAGACGTGGAGGAGGTGGTCGCGGTAACGACCGCAACCGCCGGAGAAGAAGCCCGAGTCGAGATAGTTACGATAGCTACGACAGTCGTCGATCCCGGTCCCCGAGCCGTAATCGCGACCGTGGCGGTCGTGGCGGCGGCGGCGGCGGCGGCGGTGGTGGTGGTGGCCGTGGACATAGATGAGCCAATTTTGGAGCACCACTGGGCGGGATGGGTTTGGTTTGTGATCTTTCTTTCAGGCGTTATGAGAAACGAGGAAAAGCCGGCTGGGATACCCTATGGCAGGCAGGCGGCGGGCGTGGGCATTTCGTCAACCCGTAAGACCTGATAATGCCTGCATGTATACTCAGCTAATAATGCGTAGACGAATGCTTTGATTGCTGGGTCTTGACACATGTTTTCCACCCTACCTTGACTGGTGACTCGATGCCGCGAATCTGCCTTGCGATGCGGACATCGTTGTGAGTTTTTGACATTCTCGGCTTGCAAAACTACACAACACCTGATCACTAATCGAAGAAGCTTGCAGTCGTCAAGTGACAACCTCGCACGTAGATTGAGCGTTACGTATAGGCTTGCATCGAAGATTCGATCGTTTCGGCTTGTCTAAGCAGGCTAATTGGGCAGAATTATGGCGAATAGAAGGGCGTAGCTCGCAGGTCCGTCAGTCTTATTTCGGTGCTTTTCGCCTTTGCCGCAATCCTTCAGCCGATAGAGCCAACCCAATGAGCGCAATTCCCTGTGGAGTCTTGCCGGCCGTTCCCGCAATACCTGACAGTTCTCAAAGGTTCCTACGCTTTCGACAAAGTTCCAAGTCATTTTCAAGAGTCGCCAAGTCTTAGCAAGGGCGAACTCTGTCCGAGTTCTGCTTCGGCGGCCGCGACAATTTGTGCTATCGGGCGGAGGGTGGATGCGGCTTGGGCTTGATTTGGCAACGTGTGAGCTTACACAACCTCACAACACGCATCTATCTTGGTCTCCGCCCGACTGACATTCCAAGAGATGCAGATCAACCGATGTTGCCTGTGTTCATGGCGCCTTTCACAGCGATTTGATGTTGAGTCAGCTTCTAGACATGGTTATTTTTGACTCCCACGGAGCGAATCGACATCGGGGCAACAGGCAGCGGGTGGCCACTTCGACTCTTTCTGACCAAGCCGTGTGGTTGCTTACGCCGAAGTGGAGGAACGGACGGCACTACTTTGAATGCTATTATTTCGGATATCGCCTTGTGGACTATCTGAAAAGAATATGCACAGTACCTTGGACCCGCCACATGTGTTCGACGGTCGACAGAGATTCTTCATCTTTCGGGTTACACAAACCCCATGGGTTTGGTTTCGGGCACGCTGACAACATATCTGAACACGCACCCTCATTTGGCGCCGGAGAGGCCCACGCAACATGCAAGTCGTCATGGTAGCGGTCAGAGCCAATCGTAGGCCGATCGAGCTGACCCCGATACTGGGATGAGGGGCAGCGGACCCCCGGGAACTCGTTCGTTCGCGCAGGCATCACACCAATAACTCCGCATCACCGCCAGCCTGATGCTTCACAACCACCTGGCCGGATCACCCAAACGAAACATCGGCGACGGCGGCAGCATCAGAACCGGCAGCCGGGTACAAGTTGGTAATGTCTCGGCTGTTGAAAAACCCTGCTCTACTACCTACCGATGCTCTATCCCCCCCCCCATCAAAGGGCTGCAACAACTCTGCAGCAGGGGTTTTAAAGCCGGAGCGGCCGACAGTATCCCCCTACTCACCGTGGCTCACCCGCGATCTTGAGTAGTAAATGGCTCTTTCTGACTCAAGAAACTTGCTTTCAGTCGTCTTACGGCATGTTCATCATGCCGCAATCCACACTTGGGTGGCAGCGAGCCAAGCATTGGAAGCGGCGCAGAGGGGAGTTCCCTCGTTGTGAGTTTGGTGACTGTCTTTTACCCCAGTCAAATCCCCTACATCACCCACTTAGAAAGAAGCTAAGCTGAGCTAGACAGACCAAAGAGGTCAAATGAACGCATCTTGGCCTAGTTGACTGCCTTATAACACTGGGTCTCATGATCCATCAGGCTAATCAAGACTGAAACGCCGTAAATGCAGGAGATTGTTCTCGGCCACCATCCAGCACTCCATAGAGTTTGTACAACGTCGTCGTTCAACGGTTGACAAAGCCTCGGCATCCTTCAGCCCTATGGACTTACACCCTCGCCCTGCTCCAGCCTGCTGGGTGGGAAGCGTGGAACAACGTGGGATGTGGGTGTGGCCAAATCCGCCCCGTCGGCTCTGCGCTAGACCGGATAAACGTACGCAGTGCGTCCTTCGTGTCGACTGCTTGCTTACGTCCTGGGCATCTTGGACCTCTCGTCCGCCCCCCCAGATGCTCATTTTGTCCCAGTGTCAGCGTGACCGAGTCTCATTTCGCCTACCCTCCCCATCCCGTTCTGGAACAGCACATTCTCTGGATGTAGATTGGACAAAATCCGCGCGAGCCACACCCCATACCCAAACAAGTGGCCCCGCGTTCGTCGTCTCTCTGTCCCTAAGCCTCATAGATGGGGGCCGTTTCCCAGCCTCTCAGTGTCCTCCAAGGCCTTTTGTCCTGCTCAACTTACGTGTTCTAAGTTGTCCGCTCGGCCGGCCCCGACATGCTTGCAACCCGGTACCAAACACCGGTGGATGTAGTCGCTCACATGACGGACCATCTCGGCGGGACTCTTACCACCCTCCTTCAGTCGGCGAGTGGCAGCCAGGCAGCAAGCCCAGAATACCTCTTGGTACTGCTGAACACAGTACCAGGCTACTGATAGTTAGTTGAACAAGAGGTCTTCAACTCATTCATACCATCGGCCGGACGGTTGACGACTTGTTGCCTGGTTTGATCGACTGGTTACACAGCGGCTTGGAGCGAGGCATAATCCCGCATTCACCGTTGGCATCCCACGCCCTTCTCCGTCACACGCTTTGCCCGACCCCTGTCGCACTCATCTTGGAGTAGGATGTCAACCCACCCCTTCACTGCCATGTTTGCCTATTCTTGCCCGCGGGGGCGGCCTTCCTACCCACTCTCTTGGGAGCCTTATGCCGAATCTGGTTGGTCGTTCCCGGTTCCTGGGAGCCTGACCGGTACGTTGTATGTGCTTCGACTTGCCTTGCCAGAAACGGCTTGAGACCCTTACGGGTAGGGGAGTACACAGTATGTGTATCCCTTCGAGATACCCCCTTCCACCCCTTGTCATACGCGATGCTTGGCAGATGAGCTCTTGTTGTCGCGTCACACAAGGCAGTAATCTTCGCGCTAAGCGCCAGGTCAGTTGCCGGTTTGATATTGTTGAGGACATGGTGCCAGAGGTACAGGCAAGTTCTATGGTCTAGTTGGGCAGTGTTCAACGTTGTGGAGGGTCTTTGTCTGTGTCTGTGTCTGTGTGTCTTGGTGTATAAGCAGAGCCTCACAGAGCGTTCGTGAAGACGTATATAGGAGGCGGCTGTCATCTTGTCTGAATGTCTCAGATGGCAGACCTCTATCACCACAACTCTCAACCACTCCTAGCAATACCCTCAGAATTCACTGATTCACTCACTTCATCAATCATTGAACAAGTCGCCTTTCATACCTCTGATTCACCATCTGTACCAAACTTGGCCCCCAAGTCCTGAACAGCTCGAACAAACCCGCAATATAAAATCTCTCGCCTAGGGAAATCCCTTTCCGACAATGTTGTCCCCAACATGCTCAAACCTCTTTGACAAAGACCACGCCCCAACCTACATCTCAGACGAAAGTTCGGGTGTCTACTCGAAGTCGGAAGAACAACAAGACCCAAGCTGGCCCCCTCGCAACAACTCATTGCGTCCCATTGACGTTTTCTCGCGCATCATTTCCTTCGGCGATCCTCCTCCATCACCACCCGGCAATCCCCGTCCCCGTGGTCCTATTTACCCTCAACCAGACGGGCCTACGCCCCCGGCTTCGCCCTAAATTGGGAGATATCTCGGCCACGACAATCATCTTGGATATTCTCTGATTTATATCAATACGTCCAACATGTTGTTCGTGACCGCACCTGTTGGGGAGAAGAGCGGAGAGAAGATGACGGCGCCTGCTCCGGGTCAGGAGCAGGACGCCGCGTCCGCCTTGGCCGTCAACGGAGACTCGACGACTACCACGGGACCCCTTGAACTGCATGGGTGCCCCGTCAAGGATCCGACTGCCAAACACGGATCTTCAGCACCGCAGTCATTGAGGCCTCAGGATACTACTAAGCGGTTGTCTTAAAGGTTTCTTGCGACGCAGACTCCTTCACATTTCTCCTTAGCCCAACTCAAATCTCTTCATGGTTTACACGGTTTTTTCACTCCTTTTCAACCTTCTCATCATGTCCTTATTCCCTTTTGTTGTCCCTGTTTCCATGCCCTCGGCATGACAAACACGTGGACCAGTACACACGCAACGCATACACTAGACTTGCATTCTCTGCGAAGAGGAAACGCATCCGCATATCATTGGTCGTTCAAGGGTTGGATTTCTCTTTTTCTTTACTTGTAGTAAGCATCCACAGCCTCGGGTAGCATTCGCTTTTTAAGGAGTAGATAGATGGATATCCATGCAGTCCATATACTTATCACCATGGAGTTTATATCAATTCGCAATCCTTTCACGTGATGTGTTCCTAGTTTTCCAAGGCCAAGGAAAGTAATGTTGACTGAGGATCAGGGGGTCATTTGCTGTCTCTTGGGTCGTGGTTTTCGGGCTTTGGTAGGAGGTCACCCAGTGGCATAAATGGGCACAGCGGCGCGGCATGGCTATGATAAACATTACAGGTAGGCCATGTGCAGGGTTAATGTCGTTACTAGACATTATGTAAGTGAGACTGAGACATAACTGAAGATTGAAGAAACTTGATCCTCTCACGATTTGATGCAGGGATCGGTATTTATTACTGGGGCACCATTTGCAAGTCTAAGGCCTACCATTCGAGGCTACTTACGTGACCGGTTTGCTGTCGTAACCGGGATTCATGAACCCATCGAGGTGAGAACTGCGACAATCAAAGTTCGAGTCGTATTGGAGCATTCGTCGGACTCTTTCGGTTTCCGTAGATGGGTCCGTCTCCCCCCATCTCTCGAGGACAGGTAGACAGAATTCCTCTTGCAGTCGACATCTGGAGTGAGGCAAGGGGTTTCACATCATTCAATCTCATTTCTAACGTGATTTAGTCATATCCGAGAGCACTCGTCTGCAACACACATTTCCAACGCATATCACCATATCACCGTTATTACTGGGAGTAGGTCAACGAATTCCATCTTAGTTTGATCCCGCAGACGCCGAAAACAGCAACGTGGTCACAATGATGGTTCAAATATCTCCACGACTGCCCGCAAAACTTCCGCTAGGATATCGTTCTAGTCACTCGCGGTATATATACAGAAACAGAAACAGATACTACTTACTGTTCACCATGATTCGTCCTACCGAAATACTTTCTGCCGGCCAAGAGTCATCGTAAGTTGAGGTTTCGACCAAGTCATAACTTGGCGTCGTGCTGGAAATACTTACACATCTCAGATTCCTTAAGCCAAATTACTCCTTGAGGGATGAAGGATGACAGAAACACCAAACATAGAAGGTAAGAACGAGAGTTTGATGCTCATCTTTTCTGTCCTTGGATGTTTCTCAAACCTGTCTTCCTCGCGGGGCATGAGTGAGAATTGCAAAGTCCAGTACAGCCTATTACCAACGTGACGCCGTTACCTTCGCCTTCATCCAAGTGCTCAAAGACTGGCCTGGTTTAGGCAAACATGATGGCACGTTCAAACGTCCTGGAAAGTCATAAAAACCATCCCAATTCTCAAAAAGCCGGTAAAACTGATACATACAAAGATCATCATCTGGCGCGAAGGGTCTTGGGTCTTGAGGGCCTTGCAAGTAAACGAGCATACCGCTCAAGGATCATGACTTTGTCCCACTCCGTAATTTTCATTGCATGAAGACCACCGTGCCGCGATGGTTACGGACCATTTTGTCATTCGCCTTTCTTCAGGTTGAACTAGACACTGGAAGAGCATACTTCCCCCCATGATTAGGTTATTAAAAGGGGCCTCAAAGATGAACTACATGTAGGAAACTCTTAATTCTGCTCTGGTCTTTTGATAGAGCCCCGTTCTTGGTAGGTAGGGGCTGATATAGTTTAGACAGATATAACAATATACTTCTCTATGTCTCAATGCCTTTTGGTGACATCCCCTTGATGAGAGCATACGAGCTCTCAGCTAAGGACCATTAGGGTAGCCAAATCGAATAACTTTTCGAGAATGAGCAGACAGCCTGAAGAAGCTTGAAGGATATGTTCCAAGGTTAGCCCTGTAATACAAACCGTTCATCGGGCCATGAGTACCTTAATCGACGAGGTGACTTGGAGACGACGAGGCCGGGGGGCCGGCGAATGTGGATCAAACCCGGACGAAGGACCGACCGAGGGTGGTTGCTCGCCGTGGGCCCCCGAAGGACCGGAGAGGGTAGTCACTATGCTGGAATCACTGAAACCTCCCTCAACCTATTCAAGAAGTCACAAACATCTGAGCAGTGAAGCTTCTTCTAACGCTCTTAGTATCGGTCAACTTATTACTCAATCACTGCCACAAGACCTCATAAAGGCATTTCCAATTACTTAGTCGACGTTGTTCAGCCCTGTGCCACCTTCAATCGTCGTCCATTTTGCTGATTCAAGGAATTCTAGTTACAAAACGAGCAACTTCTAAATGAACATCCAGCCAAATGGAAATTATCGCAGACTCAGGTAATCCATCGCTCCAAAATCCCGGCAGGGGGGATGCTGATCATGACAGACAGTACGGAGTACGGGCACCCAACTGGCGCTGCAAATGGTTCACTCACCGCGGGAACACAGTGATCCCTGCAAGGCAATGCTGGGCAGGGCGCAACAGGGGCAAGGGGGGACCTGGCATTGAAATGCATCTCGATTCTCGTGTTCCCGTGGCAGACTGCAGATGCGATGCTCCCGACTAGGATTCGCGAGGGTGCTTCTGCAGCGGCCGCCTGTTGCCGAGTCTCCAATCTCGTTGGCTGTCGCGATCCACGCCATCCTGCACTGCAGCTCGTGTTGAGGAGGGGAAGGGGGGGAAGAGGACGCAAAAGGTGCAACCCTGGCCAAGGCAAACTGGCTTTTTTGATGAAGTTACCCGATGCGCTACCCTGTCGTACGCGCAGTGTCTCGAATTTGGCCAGGTAGGTGAGGAAGCTCGTATTACGGTCTTTGATAAGGCGCGAGAGATTTCTTGGTCGAATTGGCTGTTCAATCAGACTCACTCCCCGTTTGACGGAGCGCTCGCAGCACATTCACATTTCGTTGAGAAAGCCGCGGTGGTGTTGTCACAGGCGAGCGAGGACCACATCCTAACTCAAGCTCTATTCAACTTTATTAACAACCTTGTATTCCGTACGGCGTATGGATATTTCGAAAAGCTGATCCAACCGAGACACCTGGTGAGACCCACAGCGTGATGTGTCTCTCAGTAAACTGCACAGCTTGCGAGCAACACTCAAATCACATCGTCGTTGTCCACGCGACAGCCTCAGCCCCAAGAGTGTTCCTCGAATGACAATGTCACCGCAAGAAGCAACCGCTGTTTTACCTTATCAAGAGGGCGCATTGGTGGGCTGGTGAGCTGGACCGGGAACGTGGGCAAATGCCACCCTCTGTCTGCCAGTCCTTTCTTATTTCCTCTTGGCCGTGTCACTTTCCCATGCAGGGCTGCATGGGAGACGTGTGGACGTGTAAGATGGGTTATCTCCCTCGCCCCTGGGTGGTTGGTTGGCTGGCAACCTGGCACTGGTGGGCTTCCTATGCTCCATGTTGCCGGCTTCCGCCCTCTATCTCTGGAGCCTCAAGCGCGATGGTGCTATTTGCTGGGGGCCTTGTCAATTGGAGTGAGAATCTGGAGAGGACTATGCCTGTGGCTCGGCAGATCAATCGCCAACGGTAACGGTCACCGGTAAGCAAATCTTGGTTGGTCTCTTTCTCGGACAACAGAACCATCTCTGGCGTGCCTATTTCCGAATATCCCAGCAAGATTCGTCTTATGTTGAAATATGCTGACATTGACATGCCCCAAATCGGATCTCGACACAAGTCAATCCAGGCTTCCTTCCAGCTTTCTGCGTCAGGCGCCTGCTACTGACGCACCGTATAGTAGGTGTTTCTATGAGCTGATCCAGTTGGCAAGACACAAATCTCAACCCCGCCCTAGAATCAATCACATTGTAACAGTAGTAAACATCTCTCACTCCCGGTGGCTTTATGCCAAGAAGCTTCTCCCGGTATCGCGGCGCCGCCTTACCCCCCAGTCCGATGCAGAAGAGAAGATCCTTCCCAGGGGCTCGTCGACATTACCTGCAGCCCAGGGTTTAGGGTAACCGCGTTGGTCGAGCAGCAGGCCTCTCACAGCCTCTTTAAGCGGCTCACCCTTCTCCAATGGGCCGACCGCTCTCCCCAAAGGCTCTTTCGATGTTTGTCGTTATTTCTGCGGTTGCTCTGATCGGGTTTTGAAGTTCCGACCCGTGCCGCGTTGCCGTTCGGCGTATTTTTCGTGAGAGGAACATCATCACGGAGCCTCGACATCAACTGAGGCTATCCGCCCCTCAAATCGAGTTGTCCAGTCGTTTCCTACCTCTCCTCATCTTATTTCATCCTACCGCGATCGACTATGAAGATGTTACCGGCACTCGCTCAGGCTGGATTGCTTGGTCTCTCATTCTTGTTCGAACGTATCGCTGCCCAAGAAGACGATCTTGGAAGCGTTCTCCAATCACAGTCAAACTTGTCCACATATTACAATTTAATCAAGGTAAGCCTTGAGTAACCAAGTGGTCCATCTTAGAGAATCTCGAAGTTTCGAGTGAGATCTTCGGGTGCACGAGGTCTTCGTGTCTAACTTTCAACAACAGAAATACCCCGAAGTCATCCTCAAACTTCCAAATTATGATGGCGTTACTGTAAGTTGTCATGGACCTCAATATCAGGCCACATCCTGATGCTAAGCCAAACATTCGTCAACTTACCTGATCAATACTGATGAAACTCCAAGATTGTTGCGCCGTCAAATTCAGCCTTTGACAACATCCCGGGCACCCAACTAAACGGCATCTGGAATGAATCAGACGCCTCCATCGCCGTCCCCATCCTGGAATACCACATCCTCCAAGGCACAGTCTCAACCGGCGCCCTCGAATCGGGGCCCTCCGTCCTCCGATCTTCACTCCTCCTCAACAAGGCCTGGACCAACGTGACCACCGGACAGAACGTCCTCGTCAACAAGCAGCCTGGCGACGTCATCGTCTTCACCTCGTCTGAGGGCATCCGCACCACCCAGGTCAAGGGTGACATTAAGTTCGCCGGCGGACTCATCCAAGTGGTCGACAACCTCATGATCCCGCCCGCCAGGCTCGAGAACACTACGGACTCTTTCAAGCTCCCAGCCTTCCTCGGCGCTCTCTACGCCGCCAATCTCCTCCCGTCAGTATCGGAGGAGAAGAACGTCACAATCTTTGCGCCGCGCAACGAGGCATTCCAACGCGTCGCCGGATCCTTAAAAAACCAGGACAAAGATGCCCTGAAGGAGTTTCTAAATTACCACGTCGTCCCCGGTCGAATCCTAGCTTCCTCCGACCTAAAGAACGGCACTAACCTCACCACCCTCGCAACAGAAAACATAAGGGTCATCCAGTCCGGCAATAATCTCTTCCTGAATTCTGCGCAGATCATCCAGCCGGATATCCTCGTCGCCAACGGCATCCTGCACATCATCGACAACGTGTTGAACCCAGACGCCCCGTCCATGACGCCGAACCCGAGCGCCGTCACTCAGGCGCCCGCTTATCCCGAGAGCTCGGCCTCAGGGCTGCCGTTCACGACGGCGATCCCTTGTACCGTCAGCTGTCCCGTGACGACAACAGCCAGTCCCACGGCGGCGGCTTCGACGCGGTCTTCTACGACGGGGCTTAGGACTACGACTAGCCCCGGCGCGGCTGTGCGAACTGGTGTGGCTGCTGGTGCGGCTCTGCTTGCGGGACTTGCCGCGTTGGCTTAGACCTTGGTTAGCTGGAATCGGCTGGTTAGACGAGGGAGTATGAGATGACAATACCACCATATAAGTAGTGCACCTTAGTAGTGAATGAGATGGGCAGTTCAAGAAAAGAGGTCAGGGTTCACGGCTTGAAAGCTCTCCAACAAGATTTGAAAAGTGTTGGTTCGAGTGACGTGCCAGTTATTCATGATGTCTTTCAATATTCCCTTATGCAAAATAGCACGATACTATTTTTGATGATCAAATTACCAGCGATTCACACCAGCGAATTGTTTGACGTAGTCTCTGTCAGTATTTTCATCCACTTTCAAGAGCTTGCGTGTTGCGTGGCCAAGCAAATTTAGGAACACAGATCTAATTCCACTTTAAGTCCACTCATGATACTGTACTCGTGACGATTTCCCCAACGTCATGTTGTTGGTCACTTGCATTCGACTAACATCAATGGTCTATCCTTTCCTCATAGTACTAAGACCAACTGCCAGTTGAACCCAAAAACCACCGAAAGAACAACTTTAAGCTCGTCCATTCATATTAAAAGTTAGCACAACGTCTCCTCGCATTCGCCGGACTCCTCACTCATACCCTGCTTATGTCAATCAATGCTCTTCGTATAGGTGACTTGCTACATATCCCATTTCGTTACCAGCCTCGCCATCTTACTACCTTATACATTACTGTGTATTTGAAGGATCAATCTCTTGATCGTCTGAGCTCTCCCGTCTCTGGACTCTACCCACACACCGGACCATGAAACTCAATCTGTCCTCTAGATAGTAGACAGTGATTATTTGTATAGTCTTGGTAGTCCCATTCTACGATATGAAGATAAAGTAGATGTCGTTGAGCCGCTGTCTCACTTATATGGCGGTGGTTTTGCCGAACTATTGATTCAACAACAGACACAAAATAGCATCCTTTAGCAAACGGCAAGATAGTTTATTAGGAATAGCATTCCGAAGGGACTCCTCCTTCATCCTAGGCTGACACCAAAATTCGGTATGCAATCAACTAACTACATATATAATCCATCGACTGAATCATTGCCGCCCTTGGAGATCTTGATTAAAGACCTGCCCTGTGCCATCAAAAGTGTTCGGGCTGCCGGTTGGGCAAGTAGGACTTTGCAATCAGTCAACCTCACGTGCAATGAGGCTCAACTCATGGATAGCAACATTCACTATACACCGAGCCCGTCTTTGGCTATTCTCCACCTTGCCGACTGCGTCTTTCAGGAAAGGCACTCATCAATCAGGCCTCTCAACAAAATCGGTGGCACAACTCAAGAACCCGGACAGCAACTCAATTCCACCGCCGCAGGCCTACACCTCGCCACACCTTCCAAGCCGCACTTCCTCGTCCCGTTGCCAACCGGCCAGCAAATACCCAGTCACGCCAGTCACCCGTTATCAGTCGGATCACCGGGTACAAGAGACCCTGCCTTGCCTGCCTGTTTTGGGCGTGGCAAGAATGCATGCCCAGCTGTCCAGCTCGCCCGGGGTTTGGGTCTTTGGTCGCTCTAGCCCTTCTGTACAGAGTCAATGCATTGCATGCAGAGTACCCTGTTCTGCCTGCAGTAACTAAATGTGCTGCTCATCTATGTAGGGTTGCTGTCGACCAAAAGGACAATTCCTGCCTTGGCACAGCTGCATATGATTTAAGGTAGCTTGGGTCAACCACCCAACAATCTCTTTGCCTCTCGACAACAGCGCACCAGCCACACTCAAACAGCGAAACAGCTATTACTGCATACAAGCACACGAGTTGGATACGGGCGGTTGCACGTTGCTTCAACTGAAACATACGTTCTGATAGGCACCATGTTCCCCCCCTCCCCCAGATAACGGCTCAACGGCTCGACTTACGAGCCGTGAGGTCGGCTCGATTGGACCAGAGGTCTCCAGCCCTAGACCAACCCCAATGCGAGACTTGCGCAGCTTGACGTGGTGGGCAGAGGGGGAGGCGTCGGGAGGGTTGGGGTTCGTTTGCCTTCTCGATGGAGGCGCCCTTTTTCCTAAAATAACCGGTTAGGCGAGCTGCAAGCCTGACTGGCCGGGGAAATCGAAGCCAACGTAGAACACGAGAAGGAGGGGCAGCCATGTCGGCCTGTAAAAGGCGGGGTTGATGAGCTTATACAGCGACTGACTGGCTCGTCGAGCCACCACACCAACGGCTTGAACGACATGCTCATGGGCCCATTGCGATGCTAGACCTTCAAGCGTCAGACTTCAATGTAACGTCGACAAGAGCTTCTTGAGATGCGTGGCAAAACACAAACACGTCCAGAATGAATGACAGGATGTCTGTTCGAGTATTGCTGATGTGAGCGGGTTGAAGCCTCTACGACTTCTTGTCGACAGGCAGGCAACAGGTTATCACACAGCATGGCTTCATGTACTGATTCGGCAGTGATAGTTCCACGGCGTACCATTTACAAGCCGCGTGACGATAGCTCAACTCATGTACTGTAACCGAAGCAATGAGACATACCGAATCCGCGGAACAGGATCAGTTGAGGGTGCTGCCGCACAAGAGAATTCCCTACCGAAACAAAAAGCCCGATGGAACCTACGCCCGTTGAATTCGATAAAGGAAGTCTAACGTGATGGGCGTGGTCTAATTCGACGAATGAGAGGACCACGAAATTCCGTCCACGGTCTCATCAAGGGTTACCGTACCGCGGTAGAACAGCAAGAACAGCTCGGCTGGCCGATATCGAAACGCTAACGCATGCTCAATGCAGTGTAATCGGCCCTCTTGGTTATCTGAGGCCTGCCAACGTGCCGACCACGCTTGCATTGCATATGTCTTCCTGCGCGATAACCGGCAAGTGCCCTGAAATTGATAATGCGCATTATAGAAAACGAGGCTGAATTCTTGTCATTGTGCCGTTTTAGAGATGGCTTGCCGTATCTTGACACTGACAAAGGCAGCGCTCCCGAGTTGGGTTTGTCGAGCCACTAGGAAAGGCAAGGTCGCAATGAGACAAAGAAAGACATCCGCCGCTTCGCCGGGGGTCCGTCCCGGAGGCGTCGATCTTCCGAGGATGGCCCCAATGGAATAACCTAGCGTGGGGATAGAACCAAGGGTTCTGAAGCTCAGAGCCGGAAGTGCGATGGAGCATCCGACGGCAGGGCCGGCAAAAGCACTCTTGAGGCCGCGATCAACATGTTGGCCTCGCTTGCTACTCGCCACCCTTGGGAAACATCGGAGGCTAGAAGCACACTCCTTGCCGATCGTCGAATTCAGTTCCAAGGCGGATCGTCCGAGCTGCTGGGACAGAGCACGACTAAAGCCTTCCATGGGATAGGGCATGGGCATTGTTTATGTTGAATCCTTGATGATGTCAAATCTCGATGAAGATTTGAGTTGAATGTGTCTGGTGGGTGAACTCATTGTGGCCATCACAGCAGAAGCAATGATGTTCCAAGAAAAATCTTCGTCCGATGTTCTGCAACTCTTTGACATGGACCTGCTGTGTGTTTTGGCTTTGGCCCCGGGAGGCCTACACCACTTCAGCTGAACGTTGTTTCCTCAGTCTCGTATCGAGCCAGGACAATGGCTGTTGATGAGATGCCGTAAGCCAAGACAATAGGCGCGCGGTGGGCCTTTCGCCGCTGGCCGAGTCTACATATGTCTGGCTCCTGGATTGGAGATGGTTCGAGTTGAGCTTTGACGCCATCGCGACACGACGGCGACGGTCTTGACGTGACGGTGGAAATTGCGGTAGGGAGGCCAGGAGGGGGCCAAGACGGGCCATGACAGACCGGCTCAATACTGTCGGGCGCTATTGGATCTAGTCCTGAAGAGGCAGCATCCCTTATCGCATCTTTTTCGTCCGACCAGCGACCACTTCAAGGACCAGGGGCCCAGCATAAGAGCAGACAGGGGCCTTAATGCAGGTACAAGGGCATCGTTGAGCGAACTGGCCGATGCATGCACGCCACTGAGCTAACAAGCGCACCAGAACAAGCCGCATGGGCAAAATCTCTTGCTGCTTTTCCTGACCACTTGTTGTACACAGCGAATACTCCGTACAGTTGCTGCTCTTTGGCGAGCGGCGCCGAGAAGCATAGGAAGCTGGAACCAACCCGCCCGAGGAAGCAAGGTAACGACGGCAAGACGGGAAGCGGGCCAGGCAAGGGCCAAGGGGTATGCTGGCACGCGGAGACTGAGGGAGACCGAGAGCAGTCGGTACTTGTGATGTTGCCATTATATGTCCAGGGCTGAAGGTGAAGCGTTCTGCAGTATTTCAATAGTGAGGTTTCGTGGTGGCCGTAGTCGCGGTGCCGGAGGGCATGATGAGATAAGGTAGAGATCCTTGACTCTTGCGAGGTCTATTGACTACCCATTCGTACGAAGATTTCGTACACGGCGTACATGACGAGAGCTGAATAAGAAGCGCCGAGATGCGGATGAACTCAGTAGGTTTGAATGGGCGATAGAGCACATGGTGCGTGTCAGGACTATCTTGGGTGGTAATGTTGGGCAAACGGCGAGGCCAGACCCAGACGAAGCGGGACTGGAGTGCTTCAGGTCTGGATTCATCGAGGTGAGGGCGATGGGGAGGCCGAAGAAACGAACGAGGATTGTCGTCGTCGAAGTGTTTGTGAAAGAAACAAATGCGGCCCCGTCCGAACTAGCAAAAGGCCGGATCCAAAGTTAACGACAAGTGAGGTGGGCAAGCTGAAAGGGGATCGAGGAGGGGCACGGGGGGTGGTGGTACGTGGAGTGAGGAAGCGAAAGATGGGAGGAAGAGAAGAGCAAGAAGAGCGACGAAAAGAGACTGAGGGGTGTGGGAGCGCGGTGGACTTGGGTACGTACAGTGCGCGGCATCGATTGATGATTTCCTCCGTGGCTGAATTAGGGGTCTAGAGGCTTGGTCTCTCACTATGGGATAGCGGGTACAGCGCCCATGGTACGTACTGTATGAAGTAAGCAAATTAACCGACATAAGCACTGTCAAAGGTCACACCTCCCAAAATGAGCCACAATGGCAGAATGGGCGAAAAGAGGTACATTGGTAGAGGTACCCGAATCGCACTTGGCCTTCCTCATCTTAGCTCGCCCAGGAGGAGCAAGAGCGTCTTTGATCTGCCTACGCCTACGTCTTCTCCTGTTGGCGGCGACCTGAGTCCCTGGCCTTGCCTTTTACCTCCCCCGGTCTCGCCCTTTTCCTTCAAGCCCAGCTGGGAACTTCTTTCTTCTCTCCTTCGCCTTGTCCGTCGTTGAGAACACTACAAATCTTTCCCTTGCCGCTCTTTCTCATTGTCGCAAAGAGAATTTCGTTCATCTACACTGGCATTGCCACAACCGGTAAACCCCATTGACAATTCGCGGCTCTACATTCGTTACACCCTCGCTTGCTTACCGTTGACTACTTTGAGGAACACGCACTCTCCCTCTACGTCAAGCCGCAAGGCCATTCAACTCTATTGTCAACCTCATTCCTCGTCTATATCACATCATGGATCAGGATCAGTACAGCCAGGGCTACTACAACCGCCCGACGGCTGGAATGCCTTCACAGGCCACCACGGCTGCCGGAACCCCTCTTCGCCCTGGCACGCCCAACACTGAGAACAGCCGCAATCCCTTTGGCGATGGCGTCGAGTCTCAAGCTTCTCAGAGAGGTCCCATGGCCGGTACACCAATGGGTACGAATCCCTTCGGCACGCCTGCCGTCTCCCGCCCTGCCTCGAGCTTCGGCTCGTCCAGTGCCCTCGGCGCACGCTTCGACGAGCGATCCCAGCGGTACTTCCACTCGAGACGTATTCGCAAGGAGGATGTCGAGAAGCCTTGGTTGGACAAGGCCGATCCCAAGGAGAAATGGGTCACCATCATCCCTATCGTCGGTATCTTTATCGGTCTTGCCATCTCTGGCTTCCTCGTCTGGGACGGTATCCATAGTGTCGTCAAGCACAAGTACTGCCCTGTGCTCATGGAGGATTTCACCGGCAGCAGTTTGGACACAAACATTTGGACCCAGGAGGTGCAAGTCGGCGGCTTTGGGTACGTTTCCTTGCTCACATTCTTCATCCCCGCACCACGCTAATTGAAACCCAGCAATGGCGAATTCCAGATGACCACTGCCGACAACGAGAATGTCTTCCTCAAGGACGGCAACTTGGTCATCCGTCCGACTCTCCAAGACTCCGCTCTTATTGAGAAGGACAACGAAATCGACTTGCTCAAGGATGGAACTTGCACTTCCACAGAGTTCTCCGCCTGTGTAACTGCCACCAACACCACCTCCGGCAACTCTTCCATTGTTCCCCCCACCAAGTCTGGCCGTATCAACACCAAGAAGGGTGCTACCCTCAAGTATGGCCGCGTTGAGGTCGTTGCCAAGCTGCCCAAGGGTGATTGGCTCTGGCCCGCTATCTGGATGATGCCTGTTGAGGATACCTATGGTGCCTGGCCCCTCTCGGGTGAAATCGATATCATGGAGTCTCGCGGTAACAACTGGACCTATGCCCAGGGTGGTAACAACATTGTCTCCTCTGCTCTGCACTGGGGCCCGGACCAGGCCAACGATGCCTGGTGGAGGACCAACAACAAGCGTCAGGCCCTGCACACGACCTACGGTGATGAATTCAACACTTTTGGTCTTGAATGGTCCCAGAAGTACCTCTTCACCTACGTCAACAGTCGCTTGCTTCAGGTCCTCTACACCAACTTCGATGAGCCCATGTGGAAGCGTGGCGACTTCCCCCAGACCAACTCCAACGGTTCCCGCCTGGAGGACGTCTGGAGTCAAACTGGCCGTTCCAACACCCCCTTTGACCAGAAGTTCTACCTGATCATCAACGTGGCCGTCGGCGGTACCAACGGCTGGTTTGAGGATGGCCAGTCTGGCAAGCCGTGGGTTGGAAGCAGTCCCAATGCCAAGAAGGACTTCTGGAATGCCCGCGACCAATGGTACCCCACGTGGACTCAGCCTGAGCTTACCGTCCAGAAGGTTTCCATGTGGCAGCAGTGCGACGGCAACGAGGAGTTGTAAACGCTTACTCGAACAGCCATTTTTCTTTTTGGATTTTCCGCACATTTACATATAGACGGCTACTTGCACATTTGGGATAGATGACGGGCGCGCGGTACGGTTTTTACAAAGGAAGGCGATTACTCTGGAATACCAACCTGGGATGCTGGCCCAGGTGCTTTGAGCACTTGTATTTGATGACAATATCTTGGGTCATGATGAGGATATTGGGAGATGCAAACTTACTACCATCTAATGAATTTGAAAACTTACCTCAACAATCTCTTTCGTCCAACCATTCGTTCATCGAAATTGAATTCATCTGCAACTTATTACCTGATTGCCTCTAAGCTGCCACCTTTCCAAGACGCAGCTAACACCAGAGTCGTGCCACTGCCGACAGCTTGAGATCCCTGCATCTAGAAACTCAAGGCAGGTAAATGGCCGATGCAGTCATCACCACCACTGTAACCGACACCAGCCAGTTGCTGTCAGACGGAGCGTGCCATTTGCCTTCCCGGGCACTTTCCCATGCGGGCGGCTGCAGATGCAGCATTTCCAGGTTCGCTGGCTCATCACAGCGCCCGGCCAACACCTGTATAACAAGGGCCCAGAATCGATAAACCCGGCAAGACAACCCTGCGGCGGGCGACTGGTGCACTATTACAGCGAAGGGTGGCAGCAAGAAACAGCAGGGCAGCGACAGCCAAGAATCAAGGGCCGGAAGACTGGGGACCTTGGGATCCGGCCGTAGCTCATCGAATCACCATGGCATTTCTTTTTCCCTGGCATCGTTGTCAGATTTTTTGGCGATGCAATGCTACTTTCCGACGATTGCCAGGCCTTGTCAGCGGTCGGAAGGAAAGATTTGCCACTGGCAATCAACCCTTGGGACCCTGCTAGCATCCGGCATTCTTGCTTTGCTTACTTCGCCTCCATCATGAAGGTGGCCGACGGGATGGGGGATTCGGTAAGCATTGCCCTCATGTCTTTTTTACATCATCCTTTGATCTCGGCAAGGTGCACTGCGGTTGTATATTGAAATTGAGAACTTCATCGACACACCAGCTCTTCATTAGTGCGGCAGAGATTTCAGTGTTACAGATACACGAGATACGTGATCACTTCACGTACTATTAGTCCGGTGACTCTGTGTATGTTGCTTCTTGTTTTTCAAAAATAGGTTTTGGGCTGCACAAGCTGGGGTAAGTCATGGGTGAATCACTCCGTGGTAGAACTCGACCCCCCTCCCCTTCTGAATAAGTGAGACTGTCCCGCATCGAATATAGAGTTGAAGAAAGACCTTGTGGGGCCAGGGAGAACATACTCCTCCGTAGGTAGAGGAGTTTTGTCTCATTGCGGAAAAGCCATGCTTTTAAGAGACTGATTTGATTGTGGCGATGTCATTTGTGTCTTATCCAAGATCTGCCGTGAGTCGAACATGCCATCCCTTCTGCGTCACGATGAATGGTCAGGCATAAGTGATATAGGTGATGATGAGTAAAAGATGAAGCTCCAAGGGCGATGCTAGATAGCAGCCCCGATGGACCGGGAGAAACAGGGCTCAGAATCTGCCCGTGAGCCCTTGGTTGTCTCTGTTCCTTGCGACTTCTCCATGGAGTTCCATTGTGAGAGCCGTCCGTGTATCAAAAGCAGTGAAAGATCGTAGAACCCACAAATTCAGGTTCAAGGTGAGCTCCAGGCCATCGCAGTGAATATCTCCCGTCACCTTCACAGTTCGCCTATGGAGTACGGTAGTATGGATACCTCAGGTAAGGTAAGGCGAAGCGGCCGCCAATCTCGATCCTCCACTACATAAAGTGGGAACTAAGGAAGGGATTGAATCACTCACAAAACACAAGACAGCAGTGGAAAAATCAAGGTTATGAGCAAGCTCATGAGAAACAAGTGGTGAACATATCACCCAGATCCACAACATTTCCACTCGGTGACAGGATAAGAAATATCCATTAGATAGGGTATGTGGTAGCGGGCGATCGCACCCACTTACGCCTCGGTGTGATTTCAAGATTTGGAAAATTCGCTTCTCACTCCAGGAGGTTCATTAGTGGTGTTGGCAAAGGGAATAGGGCGAGTGAAGAGATGTTGATTCGGCGGGACTCTGTCAAACTCATCTGTGATGGCGGGAATTGAAGGGTCAAAGATGGGTATTTGGGACTTTTGCGAGAATTCGTATCAGTGTGTTGGTGAACTGCGATAGCCGCCTGTTCTTTCTATTTCCCGCTCATCTACCTATTAGGATCCTGCACAAACATTGTAGATGGGACCTTTGCTGGTTGGGCGAGTGCCCAGCAGCGTCGAAAACCGGTGACAGGCAGCCCAGTAGGGGCTGGTCAGTACCCTTTGGACGAGGATTGCCGACCATAGAGCAGATCTCTAGGAATTTCAAGTGATGAGGCTGTGCCCCAAAACTACGGCCGTGGAGTGTGAGCATGCGTTATCTCGGTCACCGTTGAATGTATTTCACAAGATCCTCCCACATGAAAATGATGTCCTTCTTCCCGCATGGCGTCCGATGTGGCCATGTGTCGCGTTACACAAGCGACACAAGCGCAGATACGAGCTGTTCCGGGCTCCCGACTTCTTTGTCGCAGGATCTTTTCGGTGCGAGCCGTGAAGGGTGAAAGAGAAATCGGGCTGTCCCAACGCCCGGAATCGCGGCAAGCCGGTAGCACAGTCTTTGTGCGTGGTCCACGATTAGCGATGCTGGATCCAGCCCGTGGTTGCCGATTTACACGAGTGACTGTCGCATTGTCAAAAGCTGACGTTGCCTATCATGCCCACGGGCCCTTTACCGGTATGTGAATCTTGTCCATCTTTGATCCTTCAGGTCGCCACAAGATACATCTCTTACACGGTAGTGGCGGTACACAGATCTGGCGGGGAAGAGATGTCGGAGCGATTGCTATAAGCAGGGAATTGTCCCGCAATCCAAGGTCTCCGTCCGTACACGTGTAAATTTGTTTGTCCTGGGGCTTCTGATGGACAAACGATGGAGAAACGCCGCCTTGACCTCAGCTTGAAAAATGGGCTGATGGAGCTTTTTCGGTGCCACGTTTGTTTCCTCTTGCTAGAAAGTGGATTGCAAACACGTTCTATCCGTACATTATGCGGGAATCTTTTGAGGGATCCAATTCGTATGGGGTCTGGCCCAGCCTGGCCTCGATACTGGATACTCCGTTAAGGTCGACAGGGTCACAGCCCGACAAGGGGGTCTTTTCACGTCTTTTCTCTCCGGAGGATCCGCCCGCGATTTCGACTGCCCACTATCCATCCACCCATGCCGGTGGGTCGGAAGATCACCGGGGGGGGGGGCCGAGGAATTTCGCCGACAAAGCTAGATCAAAGCTAGCATTTTCTTGAGTCCCAACAACCTGAATGGGGACTCGGGGACAAAAAAGACAGGAGCTGAGCTGAGGCGTGCCGTTGTCGCCGGCATGCTGCCGCCGTCAAGGGTAAGCTGTCAGTCACACCGGACGGCAGGCCTGTGGTGACCCTGGCCGTGTAAGTGGACGAGCGGTGCGGGCGTGTCGAAGCCGCGATACCAAGGTTGCCCGCTTGAACACTCGGCAGATAGGTCGAGTAAGCCCCTACAAGACTACGGGGATAAGTTACAATGGACCGTCAAGGTGAGATTGCCGGCTGCCGGCGACATGCTTCCGCCGCATGCGATATTGCGAAATCCTGCTTTGCTATCACATCGAGTCTTATCTCGACAAGGGGTGCGAAAAGTGCGGTTAAGGAACTGAAGCCTGGAATTTGATAGTGAAGGACCATCCATGGGCGACGACCAGAAAACGCTTGTACCCGACAGGCTGGATGACACTGCTATTCCGGGAATAGAGAACAGAATGAGACAGAAAGCGACAACGGGCCACGGACAAAGTCGCACGCGTCAGTCGACGATGGTTCAGGGACAGTTGCCGCGGACGTCTTGCGAGGACCCAGGACGGCGGATTGAGGTGAGATTGCGATGCAGAACGCCACTGGCGAGCCGCCTAGGGATATCCCACGTTGTAAGTTGGTCGTCGCGGCTGCGGCTGAAGACCCTGGACGATATTGGACTTTGACAAGTCTAGGACCCTAGAGAGCCCACGTCGCTCTCATGCCCCCCTCTTCCCCTATAATCGACCCCTCTGTTTCTACTCAGTGGACAGTGCGTGCGCGGGAAATGATCGTAGCTAGACGGGAAGCGATTGAGGAGGCCGCGTATTAGTGTTCCCCTGAAAACAAGAGCGCGCCAAAGTTGCGTTACCCCTTATCCTCACTTGGGTGGAAATTGACACTTCAGCCACGATATAAGCCATCGTGACGGCGCCAGTCGCTGATTGGATGTAAAAATTTGGACTTGTGGGGGGAGAAGGGTGGAAAATGAGGTGTGGCCCAGTGTGGCTGCTGCCGGAGCCTAGAATTCAGTAAAAAAAAGCTTATATGTGTTTGACCGTCTCCAGATGGTAGGCCTGACTCGACAAGCGGGCCAGATTTGGCCTTACTGGTGATAATAAGACGGGTGTAAGCATGCTATCGATGAGAAGCGAGGCTTTGGTTAGGCGAGACGCCAACATGATGAGAGTCTCTGAGAGAGAGAGAGAGCGCCATCGAGATTTCAATAGTGTAGTTGATGCGGCAAGTTCAGGCAGTGTGGTCCTTGATAAGCTTAATTGCGTGAGATGACAGGGGACCATGGTGACATTGGGCTTTGACATGCTCGCTTCGATGAACCCATGCCCTATATTCCATGTGCTGTCACTTTTGCTGACAGGTGCTGTGGCAAGCCAGGCTGCATCGTGAATGACGGTGGTTGAGGCCGTCAAAGACGAGCAGTTGGGTTGATGAACAGGACAGAATCCTGAGGCCCTCTCATCCAACGGATGGGCTTTTCCATGGGCAGGCCTCGGGATCCGTTGTATTCATGTTCGAAGCGCGTCATATCTCACTACTGGCGTCAGTTGCCACAAGCCATCATCTCGATTTTCATGCCGTTCCTGTGGAGGGTTGAAACGGTCAATGAGCTGACTGGCTGAACAAGCCAAAGTTGGGTGAGTGTGTGCATGAGTGTGAGCGGACGAGTGTGTGTTGTGCGAGTGAGTGTGTGTGTGTGCGGTTTGCGGTGGCTTGGATTGGCTGGAACACACCCTGGCCAGCATCCTTCTCTGCTGCTCTTGCTGCAAGTCCCCTGTCGAATACGAAGAATTGGCGGGTTGGCCACACTCACAGATAGACCGCCTTCAGAAAATATTAATTAATATTTTGTCTCGAGGAATAAAACCTATTTTGTTTTCGGATGGGTATTCGTAGCACACCGCACATGCAACTGCCCCCCCAAGGTATGGCTAGTACTGCCAAAAAAAAAAAGTACACTCTCTGCCCGACCCGCAAAAAGGTGTCGGAGGATTTGAAGATCGCGAACAAGAAACAAATATTGGGTCTGAAATTGATCTTGCCGTGCACCGAGTGTTCAGCTTCCAGTGGGTCGGGTGGACTCCCGGGATGCCAGCAGCATTAACCATTCGGCGAGCCAGCCATGGCTCAGAGTGAAACGACCATCGGTGAAGGAGGGTTCAGCAGCTTCGGCGAAGTTGTCTGCCCCTTGCGCGGCCGGCAGCCGTGCTTCTCTCATATCAGATGCCATTCTTGAGTGAGTTATTCCTAATGGAACATTTTGTTTTCAG